AGGGCCCATGCTGGTTCTCCTTTGGGACTTTCAACACTTTTCTCTTAAAACATCGACTTTTCCTCCTCCATTAAATACAAAAAAGCTACAATACTCTTAGAAGTGCCTCATCTCTCCTTGCTGCTGCGTCCCTCCTGGAGAGTTTGGCTGGTCCTCTGGCCTTGGAGTCTTGCTCTGGGCCCAGCCCTACACCCAGCACCCACTCCCGCTCCACGCCAAGTGCTGTGGGCCCTTCCAGTGTGCAGAGGCTGCTCCCCACTGGAAGCATGCGGGCAGGAGCTGAGGTCTGCAGGGACAAAGCACAAACAGGGGGACCACCTTTAGCAGTCCCACTTCCCAGATCACACAGCCTTCCACAAGGAGGGACCCTGAAGTCATCATACCCGTCCCAGAACATCTCACCTTGTGTCCCTTCTGTCACCTCTGACCCACCGAGGCCAACCTCGCTCTTCTTGCCTTCTGTGCGAGTAAAAACTTAACTCTCCTCAGGCAGCATGGCTGACCTTTTACTCCTCACATTTCTGGGCCGACTCCCCCACATATACCCATCCTCAAAAGTCTTGCCACCATGGCCCAGCAGATACTTCTGGCTCCAATGACAGAAGACCTCCAACACCCGATTCCTCTCTGGCTTCTGCCTCTGTGGGTCTTGCCCCAGAGCCCTCTGGGTCAGCCTGGTCTCCACCCCCACAGCCCCTGTCCCCAGAGGCTCTGTGGGGAGGCTCTCCTGTGAGCACACATCCACCAACAGGGTTCTGACACCAGTGTCTACAGGACGCCAGGACACGGGGCCAGGAGCCCTTTCAGGCCACATGGCAGAAACACAGTTTTATCACCTGTGGATTACATCTCATAGTTACCAGAGATGAAAACACACAAAAAGCCAAATATGACCCTGAGATAGCACCTAATGCACCTCTGCTCCTGCAGAAGAGATAATATAATAGAGATGTGGGAGCTACACTTCCTTTATGACCAGAATGTTACCCTCTGCTGAGCCTGTGGTTGATAAAAAAAAAAAAAAAAATGCACAGTCTCTCAACAGAGTTCCTTGCAGGTACTAAAACCCTTGGGCTTTCCTTAGTGACAGGCACATTCTTGCTGTTATGGTTTATATCTAGATGTCTCCCTGAATCCTTATCTGATCACAGGCAGCACCTCTGGAAGGTGACTGAGTCATAGGAACACTACAGATAACCTGATGTCAGGAGGTGGGGTGGAAGATGAAGGTCACTGCTGGTGTGACCAGAAGTTCTCCTTCCCTTTCAGGTCCCTCCCTTGATCTCTCTGCATCTTGGAGCCAGGCACCTGGTCTGAAACTTCTACAGACTGTGAGCTGAAATACGGCAAACTTCTTCTAAGCTGTGGGTGTCAGGTGACAAAGGAAGTGACTAAGACACCTGATATCTAACGAGGTGATTCATTGTGGCTCCTTCCATGGCCCCAGGTTGAAAGCTAGTCCTAGAAAGATCATGCACGGGATGCAGCTCAACCTCTGGGAAGAAACTGAAGTCTGAGGTCAATTACAGCATCAGACACCCTGCAGAGCTTGCTGGCCAGTGAGCATCCTGGCCTGGGGAGGAAAGGACCCAAAGCCTGCCCTCAGCCCTCCCCACCTCACCCTTGCTGCTCTTCATTAGGTTGCTTCTAACTTGAATCCTTTCTCATGCAACTATAATAGAGTATGGTACTTTCTTGAGCTCTGTGAGTCACTTCAGCCACTTGTCAAGCCTGAAGAAAGTCACGGCAAACATTAAATTTATATCAGTTGATCAGGAGCCTTGGAGTCCTGGGATTCCCCAGTGTGGCTCATGCCTGACAGCGCCCTCTACCCACAGGGCCTGACGCAATTCCAGATCAGTGCCAGTAACGTGAACACCCAGCTGGGTTGGCAAAGCAGCATCTATTGTCTGCAGGGAACTCACTTGGGTAAGTGCAATTACTCACGGGCACAGTGCCCCGCCTAGTCAGGAATATGCTGCACACACACCCTGAGGATTCAGGCAAAGCGTCCTGGCATTCAATTCTGAATTTATACACATCTACACTTTCTGGCTGGACCAAAAATTACCTGAATTCCACTGTTTCAAGCAATGTTTCTTACTGACATTTCCCTGGAAATGGCCCCAAATGAGTCCAGCTGGCCCAGCGGCTCCAGGGACAGACTCAGGAGGCCCAGAGGCAGAGACCTTCCTGGTCCCAGCCACTAACAGATGGCAGGAGCCACCTGCAGGCCGCGGCTTGGGCTGTGCACAGCCTCTTCTTTCCCTCCTGTGGTGGCTATATTATTTTTAGTAGTAATCACTGGAAAGTTTCTAAAATCTTCCCCCAATGGAACAAATATAACCACCTGCTATCAATACTGTAGACAAAAGATAATTTCAGAACATTTCATGTCATTTGAGAATAAAAGTTCACCACCAGAAAGGTACAGCACAGCACGAACAGCAGTTGGGCACCTAATGACAGGAGGCATCATGGCCATGGTCTGATACTCAGATTTCCAGTGATGGGCTGAGTGACAACTTCACAGAAATACAAGTCTGGCTCTGAGAGCTCCTACTCATGTACTCAAGCCTGGAAAAGCAAAACAAGTATGAAAATGTTACATTTGCTCTTTTAGTTTCATGTTTCTTGATCCTTCTTCGTTTTTTGGAGGCAGGGAGTCCTCAGTTGCCCAGGTTGGCCTTGGTCTTGAGATCCCCCGGCCTCAGCCATCTATGCACGTGCCACTGTGCCCAGCTAAGTTGCGTGATTCTTAATCAGCTTTGCAAGTGCAAGACAGAACCAAACTCCAATATGGTCCTCTCACTGACTGTCACAGAGGAAGTTCAAAGCAGTGGTCCTCAGACTATCCAGGTCCTGCAGGAACACAGGCCCCACCCAGCTCCTTTCTCTCACTCTAGAGACCACGTGTGTGTACACGTAACCTGGAACTCAGACAGGAAACACCATGCGTACCCACAGGTCTTATGGTCTGCTCCCTCATCCCTCAGGGTAAGTGACCTGTACATGGAACCTGAACAAACCTGTATATGTTTCAATCTAAGAATTTCTTCTAGAACAGAACCATTATCTTATCCCATGTATGAGTCCCATTTACAGGCTTCCAAAAATGTCAATAATTTATTAGGAACTAAAATATACACAGCAAGTTCATGAGGGAAGTGAAGAAAATAATTTAGTGGGCACAGTATTGTCTTAAAAGACAATGCATAACATAGCCCTATTTCTAAACAAGTGTAATGAATATCATGCAAACAACTCATTCTAATTTTATGATAGGAATGTTTTCATTGTGACTTGAAAATATATCAAAATATGTTAAAAATGTAAACACTAGTGATGGAGGAAATTGTACTACAGGACTTAGCAATAAAAAAGCATCAACTGTTTTGCCATGGTCAGTCCTGGCACATAAAAACCTCTTGTCTTTCTCAAACTTTAGAACTGTAATACTGGACGGAAACACTGTTGCAAATATTCAACAGGTTTGCTGGACACTGATCATGTAAAGTCCTTGCATTTGAATCCAGGAGAAGCACTCCAAGCTGCTCTCACTCTGGAGTTTCAAGAAAAGGAAAAGGCAGAGCCCTCTGTGTGGACACCTGGCTGAGGGGCTGTGTGGGAACACGACAGGCTCGGGGAAAGGTGAGGACCACAGGTCTGTGAGCTGGCCACCTCAGCAGGCACAGGCCCTCAAAGGTCAGGGGCTTAGGCGTCCCTCTGAGCATCCCAAGGTGGGAAATGGAGGAGGAGGAATGCATCAGAGGACCCAGTGGCCATCGTTTTGCTCCACTTCTCACAGGAAGATGCCAAGTTCCGGGGACGTGAAAGGACTTTCCCTCATGCTGTCTGCAGTTTCTGCATGACAGTATACTTCAGCCGAGCCAGAGGCTTGGCTTTCAACAGATATATCATTGTCAGACTTGTATCTTAGGAGCCACGGACCCGGCCTGGACTGGAATGGCCTTCTCCCAGGTCCCCAGACCTCCCAACCACCAAAATGTGAGCGGTGAGGCCAATTCAGAGCAATTTCACCCAGCAGAACTCTGTTTTTGTTTGTCTTTTTGAGACAGGGTCTCACTATGTAGTTCAGGCCGGCCTTGACACACTTTGTAGTCCAGGATGGTCTTGAACTTGCAGCAATCCTCCTGCCTCGGCCTCCAAGTGTTGGGATCACAGGTGCGTACAACCATGCCCAGCATAAACGCAGGACTCTGAAGAGATGCTGGCTGCAGCAGGGAAACACGCACAGAAGACGGGCAAGCAGGGCCAGCATGCAGACAGCTGGCGACTGAGGAGAACAGTCTGAAGCCGTTCTGCCTTCAGCTTCTGTATTATAAATGTCAGCGCTTTTTTCTCTCTCTCAGCTTTTTTTTTTTTTTTTTTTTTTTTGGTACCAGGGATAGAACTCATGATTTCATACTTGCCAAGCAGGCACTTATATCACTGAGCTAAACTCCCGGCTCTTAGCCGCCTTCTCAAACTGTATCACAAGCATCATTTTATGTAACCCACAGCAAGCAAGGTGTTTTATGATAAAGTAGCACCAGAAAACTTGTGGTCTGCTACAGGTCTAATGTAATTCTGTTGGTTGTTCAAGGAATGAAAACCTCAAAATTAATATATACTGGGAAAGATAGTAACCCAATGCCATATTTTAGCTATTTAATGTATCAGTGGTGCACTAAACTTATCAATAAGCATTAAAATGACTTAATTTAAAACTGTTATTACATTTATTAATGAACACAATATATTTAAGTATCAGTGGGTCTGCTTGACTAGGTCCCAGCTAACTGACATTGACATCAGGGGGGCAGTCACTTGCAAAATCAGTTTCCCAAGAACTTATCTGGATTGTCTAAGTACAGCACTGCATCTGTGGAACACGGCCCAGCCCAGGGTTTTATGTTGGTCGACTCTGAAGCCTCCCCCTTCTGGTACGCAGTCACCCACAGGAGCGCCAAGGATCTCCCAGGCATGTCACGCCTCACCTGCCATGTCGATGGCGAAGGGCCGGTCCGCTCTCCAGCCGGTGTACCAGCCGACCACTTTGCCGTTTTCCACCAAGGGACGTTCGTAGCGCCGCCCACCAACCAGGCCCACTGGCCACACGGATACCTTGCGTGTGGTTCGCATCTACAAAAGGGGAAAGACACAGGTGCTGAGCTCTCTTAGGGAAAAGGAAGGAGGAAAGCCATCCGGAGGCCCCCTAGAGGCGGCAGGCAGAGGGGCCGAGCACAAGTTCTGAGGTGTGCACACAGAACCCTCTGTTGACAGCTACAACCTGATTTCTTTTGTGTGGGTTCTCGAGGTCATGGGGGCTGCCCTAGGAATGCAGTTAGCTGGTGGCTGTGGCTCAGGAGAAATAAAATAGATGTTACTACCTGACCATTATTTACTTGGAGCTAAGCACGACTATCAAATACTTTCTAGGCATTTCGAGGTTCCATCTTTTAAATATTATTTTTCTTTCTGGTTTTTTTTTTTTTTTTGTCTTTTTCGTTTTTATCAGTACCAGGGATCGAACTCATGACCGCACACTTGCAAGGCAGGGGCTTATGCCGCTGAGCTAAATCCCCAGCCCTAAATATTATTTTTCACCCTCAAATAAGAAGGTTTACTTCTCCTTCATAAAACCTCGTGATTCAGAACAAAAACTCCAGGACGCTATGGGGACATCCTGTCTCCAATTCTTTTTATTGCTACAGCTACCAAGACATCTTGGCTGGGGACATTAATAATGAGATCCAGATATAAAACAGACAGCAGGCATCCTTCAGAGGGACAAAGACCCACACACCCCCCCTGAAAATAAGCCTATTGCTCAAGGACAACTGGGCCAAATGAGAAGGAAAAGGCCTCACAGGATGGCTGAAATAATCAGTCCTCTTTATATGCAGTGACATCCAGCAGATACCTAAACATACTCCACGCTATCTGGCAGGTTTTGTTTTGGTGGTTACTGAGGGTCAAACTCGGGGCCTCATGCGTGCTAGGAATTCCTGTAAGACTGAACTAACTATATGCTTGGCCCTTATCTTGAGACAGGGCCCTGCTAAGTTGCCCAGGGTGGTCTGGACCTCCTGAGAGGCTGGGATATTATCATCCACCACCCTCCCCAGCTCACCAGATTTCACTGAGGGAAAATGCTCACAAGAAAGCCTGCCCGCATCACGCAACAAATTTCAGCTCCGTCACCTTTTCAGCCCACACAGCAACTGGGGCAAACAGCAAAAGCTCCCGCCCTTCAGGTAGATACACCAGTGCTTGGCCAGCAAACACCAAGCCTTGCTGGTGAGCTAGTTATGATTTCAACATCAATTTTATGAGCTCCAAAACTGAACAGGTAATGAGCAGGTAACCAGGGGTTAAAATAATGATTCTTAACTGAAGAAGTTTTTATGAAAGGAAGAAAAGTGATATCCTGAGAAAAATACAACGGGAATTCTCACTATTAAAGCAAACATGAGATGCTTCCATTAACCCAGCATCCTGATCTGACTTAATGATATCCCACCTTGTTCCAATGAGGGTATTTAAGGGTGTGAAATGTTCCAGGTCATGAATGTCTCATTGTACTGGTTTCCTTTACTTCTGAACTTATTTTTATAGTTTCTTTTTTTTTTTTTTTCATTGAAAAGTAGAGGACTGCGATTTTTAGAAAGGACCTTTTATAAGGCTGGCCCTGAGCTGGTGTCTGGGAACTCAGCTTTGGAAATGTCTCCTACAAAGGAAGGTTTTACCTGCCTGAGGCACTGAGAGGTAAAGTTCACAGCTGCTTTACTTTTTCAAGTCTGAAATGTACATGGGCACTATAGGAGGAAACTGTTCCTCTCCAAGCTCCTTTGGTTTTTAGGTGGATTTTCCTGGGCATAAACACTGTGCACCAGTAGCTCCTTTTTTCCTGCTGGAGGGATAGTGAGCCCAATGCACGAGGGCTGAAGAGGATTCCTGCAGACGTCCTCCCTCATGGGAGGGATCCCCTAGGGTGAAAGCCATGCCTTAACAGAGGTGACCTTGCAACTCAGCGTCATGGTCCTGTTCTCCCTCTACTCCAGTCCCTCAGCAGGTCTTAGTGACTGCAACCTGTATATTTCACATAGGCAGGCAAAGCCAGAAACCCCAAAATATGATCTTCTTTCTCTAATTCCATCTTCAGGATTCTGTTCCCACACAGACCCGAGAAAATGAAAGCCTTTCGATTTTTTAATCTTACAGGTCAAACATGCCAAACACACAAATAAATCTAGGCCAATGCTCTTAGTTACTTTTCTACACACTGTTGAGACAAAATACCTGTTGCCCAAAGTTAGGGAAGGAAAGGTTTATTTTGTACAGTTCTTGGAGGTTTTAGTCCATACTTAGTTGGCTCCAAGGCAGCTGGGCAGGGCAGTCATTCTACCATATCATCGCTCCATCCAGGCAGGTGGGACACTCACATGGCCAATCCCAGTGCTGGACAACAACCAATCACAAACTCTAGATCAGCCACATCCATAATTACATGAGGCCTAGGGGTGGCCAAAGGATTCTATAATCTATAACATCAATCAAAAATATATAGATATGGATATAAATATAGAGACGTGTCTCCATACTAATTCACATCTCTGTATCTGTACACTGAGATGCATTTTTCTCTATATAAATATATATGTCACACTTATGAAAAAATGACTATTTACAGAGCACTATTTGTTTTTTTGGAGAGGGCAGGGGTATTTATCTGAAGCCTAGGATTTTTGTCTGGAGCACATTTCCAAATTTGTGGAAACTGGTGAGCAGATCCCTTCCTAGAATTCCATGTCCTCCTAGGTGGCAGCAGGCTGTGTCCCAAAGGTGTCAAGCCATTCTCACCAAATATGTCAGCCCCACGTAATAATCGGAACATTCCTCATTTTCAAAGAGGAATACAACAATGAAAGGACAGACATCCACCTCCCCATTCCGGCTACTCTCGGAGAACCGTGGAGTTTCCAGCAAGCAGGTGGGCGCACACTATCCTGGGAGCCCAGCCTATTTGGGACTCTTCCACTGTCTGGGTGCAGAGTAAGGGCTGGGCGGATCTGGGGCGCCTGCATCTGCCTCCCCAGGTATCTGGAGGACTGTGGATTTCTCAGCAAGCAGGCGAGCATCACCAGTTCCAGAGACCCCGCGGCCTGTGGTCAGTGCCCAGTGCACTCTGCCCCAAGCCCAGACTGTTCGGGACCCTCCAGGCTTCCGGATGCAGTGAAGTAGCTAAGTGGGTCTGAGGCATCTACATCCGCCTCCCCTTTCCGGCTGTGCTCAGAGAACTGTGGAGTTTCCAGCAAGCAGGCGGGCGCACAGTGTCCCTGGAGCCCAGCTTATCTGGAACTACAGAGTTCTAAACAGGCAGAAGAGGGCCACTGGTTCTAGAGGTCCAGCGGCCTGGGGGAACTGGGTGCCAGAGTCCCAGGAGCTGCGAACACAGAAGTGGATTTCCAACAGACTCCGAGGAAGCTTTCGAGTAACACTTGAAACACAGAAACATAGGAAAATGACAAAACGAAAGACCAAATTACAACCTCAAACCTCCAGTCCATCTCAAGAAACCCTAGGAGTGATGTATATAGAAGAAAATATATGCCATACACCTCAAATATTGGACATACTAGCTACTGAAATAAACAAGCAACTCCAGGAAGCTTTAAAGGAATTCAAACTCAAAATAATCTCCCAGGTAAAAGAAGAAATGATAAAAGAAATGAAAGAGATTCTGAATATATCTAAAGAAAACACAGTTAAAAATTGGAGGAACTAAACAAAAAGATAGAATCCCTAGACGAGCAATATAAGAAACAAACAGAATACATAAAGCAGATGCACAGAGATATACAGGAAATAAAAAATTCCACTGAAAGCTGTAAAAACCGCCTCAATGAAAATGAAGATAGAATTTCAGACCTTGAAGACAGGATTGCAGCCAGTGAACAGGAAAGGAAAGATCTTTTAAAAATAACAAGGAATCAGGAAATAACAATTCAACCACTGCAAGATGATGCAAAGAAAAATAACATAAGATTGATAGGGATTAATGAAAAAGAAGGGGACAGCATGAAGGATGTCAAGAGGATATTTAGAGAAGTAATAGCTGAAAATTTCCCAAGCATGAAATCAGGAACTGACATCAGGTTCAGTGAAGCATATAGAACTCCAAATAGTTATAACCAAAATAAAACTACACCCAGACATATAATAATCACCATCCCAGAAATCCAACACAAGAATAGATTATTAAGAGCTGTCAGAGAGAAAAAACAGATCACTTATAAAGGAAAACCTATCAGAATCACAGCAGACTTCTCAGCACAAACAATAAAGTCAAGAAGAGCATGGAGTGAAGTATTCCAGATCCTAAAGCAAAATGATTTCCAACATAGACTGATGTACCCTGAAAAACTATCATTCAAAACTAATGGTGAAATACGATACTTCTATGACAAAGAACAGCTGAAGAACTTCATGAACACCAAGCCAACTCTGCAAAGAATATTGAGAGATAGTTTAGATACACAAAGGAAAAAACCACTAAGCAAAACAGATAATTAAACAGAACAGAAAGATAAAGATGCAACAGCAGAGAGATAACATGTTAACAATAAACCAGCATATAACAGTTATAACCATTAATGTAAATGGTCTCAATGCACCAATCAAAAGAAACAGACTAGCAGAATGGATCAAGAAACAAAATCCAACCATATGCTGTTTACAGGAAACCCATCTAACCCAGAAGAATACTCACAGACTGAAAGTCAAAGGATGGAAAACAATACTTCACGCAACAGGAATCCAAAAAAAAAAAAAAAAAAAAAAAAAACAAAACAAAAAAAACAGGAGTAGCCATTCTGTTTGCAGACAACATGAACTTTAAACCAACAATGATTATAAAAGACAAAGAAGGTCACTACATACTCGTTAGGGGAAAACTCCAAGAGGAAGAGGTAACTACCTTAAATATATATGCACCAAACTCCAGAGCACCCAGTTATATAAAACAACTATTAACAGAAATGAAAACTCAAATTATCAGTAACATCATTGTAACAGGAGACCTTAACACGCCACTGACACCAAGGGACAGATCAACCAGACAGAAAATGAGCAAAGAAATA